TTTGTTCAAGGAACTGCATAAGTTCTTGCTTGATCATTTTTTCCATTACTTTTCCTCTCGCAAAACCGCATACATTGGGCTTTGTCCCATTTCCTGTGTCTTTACTTAGGGGGGTTGGAAGAGACAAAGATTGTTAGATTATTTTTAACAAAACAATGAATTTCAGCATACTTGTTTAAGCATACGTCGTTTAGGCTTCCGCTAAAAATGTTCCCATCATTTATTAACCAAAACATTCAATGTAAACGCATCAACCACGTGCAATAATTAACGTATGTCGACTTCTTATATGACGCCAAAATGCGATCTTCGGTCTGCTTCTACTACAACCGTAACTCTACGTTATACCTAGCACTTACACCAAAATTACATGTAATCTTGACCATGGAATGCTACCATGATGTGAACACTCCCCCTATGCTTCGTAAATATGAGGACCTCGGCACTGGAACACGTGCGTTGGGTTCCTATTCATATGCCCTTTCGGCTCCTTACCGTAATGAAAGGTCAGTTGTATTTGTACCGTTCTCATTCAACGAATGTCAGGAAGTCTAAATTCGATAGCCGCAGCGGTGGCGATCGAGACTACACATACCCACATTCTGACGACTTTATCTATCAACACACAAACTATCAACAAAAAAGCGCGTAATATACCATGTTTATTTGAAGCATTGCGTTTGCAGATATCCTCTAACGTAAGGCGTGTGACTATGGATTACACATAATAGGCAATCAAGAGTGACAAAATGCATGATTGCGCAATGGATGAAACCAAAGCATTGCAGGAGTTGGGGTCTTCAGTGGATGGAGTCGATGCCGTGGGAGTCGTTTTCGGCGTAGTGGCTGATGCTGATGCCGTGATAGTCGTTTCGGGCTCAGTGGATGATGCCGAGGCCGTGATAGTCGTTTCGGGATCAGTGGATGATGGCGAGGCCGTGGTAGACGTTTCGGGCTCAGTGAATGATGACGAGGCCGTGGTAGTTGCTTCGGGATCAGTGGATGATGCCGAGGCCGTGGTAGTCGTTTCGGTCTCAGTGGATGTGGAGGAAGCCTCGGTTGGAATCATGGCCGTACTCTGACCCTCACGTTCTTCGATTTCTTGTCCGACAGACACTGTGTGTTTAAATAGAATATTTGCTTATATGGATTTGATTAATAACATTTTCATATTAATCATGGTAAGGATCATTGGAAACCTACCGGAGATGACAACGGCGAGTAGGACTGCGAGACTGACGATAAATTTCATTGCGTTGGTCGACGTTTCTACAACTGACAAATGGAAATACAGTTTAATATAATACAGAGCTTCTTTGGTTGCTGTCATGTGTTTGAGCACAAGCACACTGGATCATCTGACTCACCAAAATCAGTGCGAGATCAGTGGAAATGATGAGCTGTAGCGTCTCTAGGTTCGGCGTCTTAAATACCTTTGTGTAATGCTGAAAACGGCGCCAATTGGTTGGACTTCTCTTTCGACTTGGGCGTTTGGTAATCGACCT